AAGCTCATCGGTTCTGGCGCCACCAGCTACCTGATGATATCACTCCTGACTTCAAGGTGATGGGCGAAGATGATTCTCAAGGATACGATGTCCTTTCTTTGGCAGGCTTGTCTTTGAACGATGGTAGTGAAGCCTCAAGGTTCTCTGCTTCTGTCAGCAATGGGCATGTATTTAATGGACAGCAACAACCGTCTCCTCGCCATCTGCATGGTAGCATCTTTGGTGACAAGATGAAGTTTCCTGCTTCTTATGTTGAAGATCTGGCAGCTGGCAGTCTTTTGAATATTTCCGCGAAGCCATGGGACAAACAAGTTATGAACACTGATCACCTTCTTGGCAACGGGAGGGAGATAAATCCTCACAGTGACAATTCTAGACAAGGATTCATGAATGACATGTTAAATGAACAGGCTATGATGGATGGGACAGAAACGAATCCCTTGGAGTTTCTAGCTTCTCAGTTCCCTGGATTTGCTGCAGAAAGCCTTGCAGAAGTTTATTTCGCGAATGGGTGCGACTTAAATCTCACAATCGAGATGCTCACTCAGCTAGAGGTTGACTCTTTTATCTAATTCTATTTGCTTGGGATAATTATTTTTGTAGCTGTATCTGGTTGCTAATCTCTGGTGTAACTTTCAAACTATTATCTTACGTTAATCATGTAATCTCGAATTGTTCATTTGTTTCCTAACTACTAATATGGATGTCAGCTCAAAGCTAGAACTGCAGCATACGATAATCATAACTGGAAATAGCTGCTATAAGATATTAAGTAGGATGTATGTGAATGGAAGGCTTGATGACGTTTCCTAGTGTCATCTATAGTGATTGTGAATATACCAACTTCTTTCTTTCCTGATATACGTGTCATGTATGCTTTTTTCCTCATAAAATTCCAAACAATTGACACAAAATCAAGTACCATACTATTTAGTTCTTACATAGCAAATTGATTTTGGATTTGAGAGCATATAAAGCATTACCTCTTCACATCTTACACATTTTTTCTCCCAGTCAGTCGGCCTTTAACTTCTGGAAATTTTCACGTGGCTGTTTTTGTCTGACTTTGTCATGATGAGGGCTGTGTAGATCCAGTTGTAAAGGTATTGCACACAACACTAGTAATGGTCACGTTCATTGACATTTTAGACAAAAGCAGTGGATGATTGCAATAAATTTCAGGCTTTGCAATGTGTCTCACACCTTGGGAAGTGAAATCTGGATGCTGTATGGGCTCTGGAGCAATCAGTCTGATGAGAGTATTTTTTTTATAAGGGTGATATATGCTTACTTTTTTGTGATTAAGATACTATTGAAGGGATTCGAATCTGAGACCTCCAGGTTCTAGGTCAGTGGTATTCTCACTAGGCCAATCTCTTGTTTGCGCCTGATGCGAGTACTTTCTACTGCATTTTTCTAAAAAGCTTATTAGGGATATCAGCTGTTTTGTTTTGCTGTATGTGAGGAATTGGTGCTATATCTATAACCTTCAACATGAAAATATTGGCCATCATATTACTTGTAGGTGTGGTAACGTTTGCTTTGGAAATGAACATTTGATGGATACACGAGGTATGGATGATCTGTTTCTGAATTGCAGCTTCAGGTAGATGGTTTCACCCAGAGTATGAACTCAAAGGCTTTGTCAGCTCCAAATCTCACCGCAATGGACTTCCCTGCTCTTTCTATGCAACAGAGTCAGAATGGCTCATCAAAGTATGCTAGAGAGGATATTCAGCAAAGTTTGAATTCATCATATCAATCTCCTGAGAAAGAGAACATGCTCATGTTCAAGTCTGGTGCATCTTTCCCGTCCAGAGGTGCAACTGATTTTGCTTCTGCTGTTAGGAAAATGGCCCTTCAAGATTCTAATGTTTGGAAATATGAAAGAAATGGTTCTGCTGATTCTTCCACAGTGGGTTCAAGCAGAAGTTCGAATGTTTTGGCTAGTGCATATAGTAGTGCCCAAGGGAGAGGCATGTATACGGATAGGTTACAGAATAATACTTCTTCTCGAGCCTCTCCTGTCTGGCTTGAAACTGGAGAAGTAGTTGGTAATATTCTTCAGTCATCAATGTTTCTTTTCCTCTACCTTTTGATTTGTGGGCAAATGCATGTATATTTGCTTTAACATTGTTGAGATGGCAGCAAATTTGTATTCTGAGATGCGGGAAGAAGCACGTGATCATGCACGGTTGAGGAATGCCTACTTTGAACAGGTAATATCCCTTTGTAGTTTGTAGCTAGGCTTCAGTTCTGGACTTTCGCCGTTTGTCAATAAAATACTCTGGGCATCCCGTCCTCTGATAATATAATAATATATATTTAGTGAACAATGGTTTGGTTCAGTGGTAGCTGGTCTTGAATCTGGAGATCTCGGGTTCGAATCCCTTAAATATTACCTAATTAAGAAACCAAACCTATATCACAGGAAACTTGAATGATTGGCATTGTTATAGACATAGAGGCTAAGTATAAAAGGTCTATTGTAAGTGTATTCCTAGTGTGAAAATATTAAGCGACTTCCGCAATATTAGAGTATTATGCATCAATTTTTTGAAATTAGTTAGCAGACTGAGGAACAAACTCTAACATGCCAGTCTGCTCGTATTTTTAACCAAGTGTAGACCGGTTGTAAATTGCGCGTAATTACGAGTTCTTTGGTTCAAAATAATGTAAAAATGCATTTTGTATTTCCTTAATAAACAGGCACGCCAGGCATATCTAATAGGAAATAAAGCTTTGGCAAAGGAGCTGAGTGTCAAAGGGCAGCTGCACAATGTCCAGATGAAGACAGCCCATGGGAAAGCACAGGATTCAATTTACCGACAGAGGTTGGCGAGCCAACGCTCTGAACTCTGTGTTTATCCTTACTGGTTTGCAAGAAATGTTTGGTTAAACGTGGTTTCAATTTTTTTTTTTTCAGGAACCTAGGTGCCCTGGAGACACAGGGAAATGGCAGAGTTGGACATGAGCGGATGATAGACCTCCATGGTCTGCATGTAAGTGAAGCCATTCACGTGCTGAGGCACGAGTTTGGTGTTTTGAGGAGCACTGCCAGACCTGCAGATCAGCGGTTGCAGGTTTATATATGCGTTGGAACAGGGCATCATACCAGAGGCGCTCGAACCCCTGCACGACTTCCGATTGCTGTACAGCGGTATCTGCTTGAAGAGGAGGGCCTCGACTACTCCGAACCCCAGCCGGGGCTCCTCAGGGTAGTGATGTACTGATGAGCTGGAAACAGACATGACATGTTTGAGGTATAGGAGTTTTTTTTTTGACACCACATATGCAAGATCCATGCTAGTCATAGTCTTTGTCAATCTTTAGTCATTCTTGTATCTGTACATGGGAAGAGAAACGGAAGTGAATGTAGATGATGAAATCCAGAAAATAAGAAAAAGGTAAGAAAAGAAAAGGAGAAGCAAACAAGTCAGACCAGTTGAAGGTTAGGAAGGACGGTACTGAGAACTGAAAAAAGATGATAGGAGAAGTGTATCATTAACTGTTTGATGACAGCAGTACATTTTGGGTAGCCAATCAGGGACGAATGATTTGACATCGGCCAATCAAGACCCTTTTTGCAGCCTGTCCTGCATTTTGTTAATTTTGTAGCCTAATCTTTATTGTTTTGTTTATACTGTCTTTTGGTATGCTTCATTTCTCGGGGAAAAGGTGACGTAAACTTTGCACCTTGTACAAAATGGTAACAACAAAACTTTGATTTTGTACGTTTCAATAAAACATGTTTGGGCAAATAACAAAATGATCATTTTGTCTCCATCTCTATCCAAAATTCTGGGGTAAATTGCAAAATTGGTCACTGGGTTTACTAAAAAGGCTCACGTTTAGTCACTAAAAATATTTAATTCTGTTCGTGGTCACTAAGATTAGTTAAACATTTCAAATTTGGTCACTCTTCGTTAGTGATGGCAATTTCAACCCGCCCCGCTGGTATTACCCGACCTGACCCGCGATGGGACGGGTATTACCCGACCCGCAGTAGCGTGGGGCGGGGCATGGGTATCTACTTCCGACCCGCCCTGCCCCGCCCCGCCCCGCCCCGTGCTAGACTCATTTTATCTCAATTTCTTACAATATCTATACATATTTCTCCTATTTTGACTTTTCTTCAACTAGTTAGAGTCGATCTTTCAACTTGTTAGGCTCAATCATCCATTCTATTATCAATATTTTTCATTCTTAAAGTATTTTTCCATACGTTTTATTGGAAAAAGTAAAATTTACTTGTATTTTTTTAACATGTAAGAGTGGGTCGACCCCCTCCCCCCCCCCCCCCCCCCCCCCCCCGTACCCGCGCGGGTTTTACCCGCCCCGACCCGTAGTAGTGTGGCTGTTCAAAGTTATTGAGGATTGTTAGCGTTCAAGGACTAAAACTTTGTTAATATGTAATTGTCTCAACAATTTGGTGGTGAAGATGTCATGTAAAATTTAGTTAACTATTTATATTATCAGGGTTCGAACCACCACCCCAAAACTTGTTGATTTTTTAATCTCTACTAAATAAAAAGATTTAATATAGGATGATGGTAGGATTTAATACGTAAAGATGGTGTTTCGAACCAAAGACCTCTTATATACAAAGAAACAACTGGACCAATTATGCCAAGACAACTTGTGGAGATTATTTGAATTTTTTTTTATTATTACAAACCTCACCCTAGGGGCGCGGTTTGTACCAAAACTGCTCTGGCTCCATGCGGTCAGCAAAACCGCCCCCTACCCGTGCGGTTTTCGTCGAAAACCGCGCACCCACCTGCTGTTTTCGAAAAAGGGTGCTATTTTTGGTATATTTCGGGACTGGGTGCTATTTTTGGAAAAAAAATTAAACAGTGTTATTTATGGAAATAATCCATTGCATGGTTGGTCATTGTGATCACAAAAAATATTCATGTTTGGTCACTCAAAATATTTAAATTCATTGGTAGTCCCTTAGTTTAGTGAAATCATTCACGTTCAGTCACTCTCCGTTAGTCGTCGTCCATCTCTGTTAATTAAGTCCGTTAAGTGATGATGTGGTGGACGAAATAGTCTAATCAACCCTATTTAACACAAAATAGTGAGACGCGACCCGCCACGTCACTATAACCTGCCATGTCATCTGGAACAACCCAACCCTCTAACCAAACCAAACCTGATCTTTGAACTGACCGATCCAAACAAATTAAATCCCTAAAATCTAAAAGAGATCTCCATTTATCCCCTTCTTTGATCTTGCACCTCCTTCCTTCCTCCCGACTTTCTTCCTCTTCCTCTTCCCCTCTATTCGAAATTATAAAGACAAAATTTTGTCACCGCAACGATAATCAAAGTCCCCAGCATGCACCACCGGAGGTCGTTGCTGCGCTCGAAGCACGCACCGGAAATCTGGCCGCGCTCGAACAGGGACTCGCCCAGCCCGACCGTCGCCATCCCGTACCCGGCCCAGACCAAGTCGCTGTAGCCGCAAGCCCCGCCGATGGTGTACCGCGGGTCGGATGCGAGGTAGTACATCGCTCGAGTGACACTCCAGTCGGATAGGGAACTGCCGGTGGAGGAATTAGAGGCGGCACCACCACCTACTAGCAGCGAGAAGAGGAGGAGTGGAGGAGAAACGAGAGGGGCATTTCTCCGGCGGAGCTTGGATTCGGGTGGAAATGGAGATTTGGTGGTGGTGGTGTGAGCGAAAAGGAATCTCTATGGGACCATTTTTTGTTTCTAGAAGAGGTAAAGTGTGAAAGGAAGTTAAGGTCATTAATGGAGTTTAGAGCTTAAAGATACTATCATTTGTTGGGCACCGACTTATTTGAGTGGGTTGGTCAGTTTAAAGGTCAAACCTTAGAGGGTTGGGTTGTTTCAGATGATATGATGGGTTTTAGTGATGTGGCGGGTCGGGTCTCGCTATTTTCGGTTTAAATAGGGCTTATAAGATGATTTCGTCTGCCATATCATCAATTAACGGACTTTATTAACGGAGATGGACGATGACTAATGAAGATTGACTAAACATGAACGGTTTCACTAAACTAAGGGACTACCAATGGATTTAAATATTTCGAGTGACCAAACATGAATGTTTTTTATAATCACAGTGACCAACCATACAATTAACCCAAAATATATGGGGATTGCTATTCGTCGCCCTATTTAAATCAATTTTACTTTAATGCCCTTAATTTAATTTAAAACTTAACTCAAAACAAACTATAACGGGAAATAAAAAATAATAATAACTGCAGCGGCCAGCGGAACATTCGGCCGGGCAGAGTCCTTTTCAGCCAGGGATACGGAAGCATTGGATCACAATTATAAAGGTTTCTTTTAATGGGACATAACTGCAGTGGCCAGAGGAGTTGGAGAAGAAGAGAGTTTTGGGCATATAAAACTCTTATTTCGTGGACTGTGGTTTTGGATTAATTTTCAGGCAATCAGCAGGAATTAAGGTTAGTGAAACGGGTTACTTCATTCGTAAGTTTTTTCTATTTTTTGAATTTTAAGATGTTGAACTTAGAACTATTTGTTAGTTTGTTTTCCATGATTATGAACTAAATCTTAGTTTATGGGGGGAAGATTGTAGGATGTGGCTATCGAATTTCTATGATTTAAACGAATTGAATAAGGTAATTGGATAGTGAATTTCAGACCTTCTTTTACGAGAGCTTCTCTCCGTTGATTTTTCTCCAAGTTAATTTCCTACTTGTTTTCTAGTTAAGTTATTACATTGACTTTAGTTTACTACAAAAACACTTTTATTCTTTCAATTCCTTGATATAATCATTAAATCTGAAGTTGTATCAATCCTTGTGGGACGATAATATTACTTACTTTTATTACTCAGTTGATAATCTGCATATAGATTTTATCACGTCACATCCAGATATAATTTATTTAATTCTAATATTATTCTTTATTAGGGAGACAACTTTGTTGAAGTTTGCTACAGAATTGACAACACCGTTGATATAATAAGGAGTTTGGTATGAGTAATACGGTAAGTACTCATTTAAATAAAGTTTATAATAAATAAATAAAATTGTATTGACTAATGGTGGATTGGTTTGAAATTTTTTTTATGTTTTTTGTAGGGTGGTTCTCGAGATGATGAACGTGACAAAGTTGATTACACCCAATTCTTCATAAGTCCAGGTTTTTATGATACTAAGGACAAAGCTCGGGAAGCAGTAAAGGAGATAGCAAAATCTCTCAGCTTTTTCTTGATAGTGTCTACAATCAAACGAAATCCGGGAGAAACGAATCCGCGGATATATATGGATTGCAATCATGGTTGCAGGAGCATAACATATATCCCATATCCTAATAAATCAAGGCGGAATAATACGAAGACGGACAAGTTGGATTGTAGATTCAGAGTGGCAGTACGGGCAATAGTGGTGGATGGTTCTTTGAAATGGAGAATTGATGGTGTGAGGGGGGGGGGGGGGTTTCATAATCACAAACTTGAGCTTTATTCTGAAGGGAGCATCCAAAGAAATACTCTCACGAAGGAGAAGAAGGAAGATATCAAGAAAATGGAGGCAACGATGACTCAGCCAAAACGAATGAAGAAGTCTCTGAAAGACATGTATGATGCTCACCACAACATGAAACAAATTTACAATTAAACCGGCAAGATTCGGCTACAGAGATTGGGTGGCATGAAACTCATGCAATGGACATTGAGGTAAGCTCAAAAGCTCGGGTATTTCGTTGAGTGTGAATTTGATATTGATCGTCATGTTACTAATCTCTTCCTTTGCCACCCAGAGTTTCTTAAGATGTTGAGTGCTTGGTATTTCGTTGTTTTGATAGACTCGACATACAAAACCAACAGAGAACAAGAAGCCATTGGTTCAGTTGGTTGGTGTTACTCCTATGTAGAAGAACTTTAAGATTGAGTTTGCATTTGTGGCAGATGAAAAAAAGGAGACATATACTTAGGTTTTGTCACAGCTAAAGAGTGTGCTTGGTGGTAGGATCCCAAATGCTATTATCACAGATAAGGAGGGAGGATTGGGTGTTGCAGTGCGCGAGATCTTTCCGGAATCTACTCACTTATTATGTGTATGGCGTATGAAGAAGAACATTGAAGCCAAACTTATGAGCTTTCGAATGAGTATAGAAGTTGCCAGAGGGTTTTGTTGGAGGTCCTTGGGGAACATTGTTGTATGCCAATACCCAAGAAGGATTTGATAGTACTTGGGTGGACTTGCAAAATAGTCGTTGGGGGGACAATGGACGATTGATGAACTACTTGAGAGGCGAGTGGCTATCTTGTGCGAGAAAGTGGGCTCATTGCTACACCAACCGTGTGTTTTTTTATGGTTAATAAAAAATGCATTTAAGCCCGGAGAAGTGCAAACTCGCAACCTCCCTCTCAAAATAGTACTTGTTCAACTACAATATATAGCACTAAACACACACTTAATAACCAAAAGACAAAACAGCTAGCACTCTATACATTTATATAACTCCAAGTATCTTTTCTGTCTTCAACTGGAACTCATTCTGGCTGCTAGCAAAGATGGAAACCTCCTGCTTTATCTTCCTCACAATTTGAGATGGCATCTGCACCCCTCGCTCTCCATGGACTCTAGCACAATGCTCTTTCCAGATCATGCTTATACCCATGACCCACAACACTCTCCCCACTGCTGCTGCATCAGTAGAGAGACTCCAGACATGCTCAACCCATCGAAGCTGTGTTGCCCAGTCTGCAAAGTCAGGGAAACAACACACCCCCTGCAATAACATTCTCAGCACAACCCTACCAAAAGAACACTCATTAAACAGGTGACCATGAGTTTCTATCCCCCCAGGGCAAAGCACACAAGCAACATCACACTGAACACCCCAACTCCTCAACTGACTTTTTGTTTGCACTCTTTCTAAGATTATCAACCAAAGTATAACACAGTACTTAGGGAAAATCGGTTTCGCCCATACAAATTTTTACCATGACACAAGTTGTCCAGGGACCCTGATAGATGCCCAGACCTTCTGAACTGAGTACCTAACAAGCACCACACCATCCTAGGCCAATGAATCCCCCTGCTCCAGTTATATGTTGCTGAGCCAAACCCCTGCACTTCAGTATCTTCCTCCAAACCCCAGGTGATAACTGCACTGGGAGATATAGACCAAATACTTCTACCCTTCACCCTGTATTTCTTCATCCAGGCCACCTAAAGAGAGCCTGATTCAGCCAAGAGATTCCACAAATGTTTGATCACACATGCTTTATTCCATGTTTTGAAATCACGTATCCCCAAGCCACCCTCTTGCCTTAACAAAGCAACTTTCGACCAACACACAAGAGCCTTCTTTCTCTTAGTACCATCAACCCCCCACAAGAATTTATTACAAGCAGCTTCAATCATTCGGAGGACCTTTATGGGAAGCAAGAAAATTGACATCTAGTATTGAAACACGCTAGTAATAACTGAATCTATTAACTGCAGCTTCCCTGCATAACTCAGGGATCTGGCTTGCCAGGTCTGGATCCTCTTAGTAATCTTATCAACAAGACAGTCACAATCAGCAGAGTGCATTTTGCCAGAAAGAAGTGGCACACCCAAGTATCTGACAGATAAATCACCTAAGGGAAACCCAAACTGATCAGACAATATTTGCTTTTCTTCCTGAGACAACCCAACACAAAACAGTTGACACTTTTGAGGATTGCATTTCAAACCAGACATGGAATAAAACTGTGTAAGCAATTGTTGTATCCCACACAATGCCTCTGATGACCCATTAGAGAATACTAACAAATCATCCACAAAGCAGAGATGTGTTATTTCCAGACTCTTACACCGAGGGTGAAATGGTATTTGGTTACTTCTAACAACTCTAATCAGTAAACAAGAAAATACTTCCATCTCAATCGTGAAGCGATAGGGGAAAAGAGGGTCCCCCTGTCTCAAGCCCTTAGCCGCAGGGAAGTATCCACACAAACCCCCCACTAAACGAAATACTGAGCATAGGGGACTGAACACAAGACTCAACAAGCTTAACAAACTGATCTGGCATTCCCATACACTCATTACTTTAAACAGAAACAACCAATCCATCGAGTCAAAATCCTTCATTAGGTCTATTTTAAGTGCACACCTAGGAGAAATACGACCCCTATGATAATCCTTTACTAGCTCTGTTGCCATTAATATGTTATCACTAATGAGCTGGCCTTTTACAAAAGCAAACTGACTTCTGCTAATAAGTAATGGTAAAACCAAGGACATCCTATTAGATAAGATCTTTGGAATGCCTTTATAGACCACATTGCAACAAGATATAGGCCTAAAATCTTTCATTTTTTCAACTACCTGAAGCTTGGGAATAAGCGAGATAACAGTAGAATTTACCTGTCTTGGCATAACTCCAGTTCTAAAAAACTCCAGCACTACATTCTCCACCTCAGGCCCCACTGTCTCCAAATCCAGTTTGAAAAATTCAGCAATATACACATCTGGACCAGGCGCTTTATCATTACCCATCCCACATAAGACTTTTTTTTATTTCTGTCCTAGTAACTGCAGCAGTCAGCAAAGCAGCATCATCATTCGTGAGCTTCAAGCTTAATAGATCCTCAAAAAACACACTAGGCAACTGTTGAACAGAAGTACCTGCACTTCCCAGCAGCCCCTTGTAAAATTCAACAACAACCTGACTCATTCTCTTCACATCAGTCACTACTTCCCCATCCTCTGTAATCAACTTCTGAATAGTCAATTTATGATTCCTAGCCTTTACCATACCATGAAAAACCCCAGTATTTGCATCTCTTTTAGTGATCCACTTGACTCTTGACTTTTGCTTGTAAAAAGATTCTTCAGCACTCTGGAGGTCCCTACACTTCCTTTTCTGCTCCAGTACAGCCTGCATGATAGCTTCAG